TCCAGGGCCCTACACTGATTTCCTAAAAGAGTTTGCAGACTTTCTCTCAGATCTATTGGTCAATGTCGATAAAGCAATAATTGTTGGAGATTTTAACATACACGTAGATAACACAAATGATGCGTTAGGGACTGCGTTTACAGATTTATTAAACTCCTTTGGGGTCAAGCAAAACGTCAATGGTCCCACTCATCGTCTAAATCATACACTAGACTTAATTATATCATATGGAACCGATCCAACCGATATAGATATTATACCGCAAAGTGACGATCTCACTGATCATCACATGATAACTTGTATAATACGTACTGCTGAAATTTGTCATGTTGCGCCGCGTTATCGACCAGGCAGAACAATCCTTCCAATCACTATAGATAGATTCTCAAATAGCTTACCTGATCTATCTCAGCTGCTCAGTGAACCCAAACAAACGGATGAACTAGAGGAAATGACCAGCAGTTTGAGCACCATTTTCTCTAGTACATTAGATATTGTTGCACCAATTAGATTGAAAAAGGTTAGAGAGAAAACTAAAGCACCATGGTACAACAGTGCTACGCATGCTATCAAGAGAGAAACTCGTAACTTAGAGCGTAAATGGAAACAAACTAATTTAGAGGTCTTTAGAATCGCGTGGAAAGACAGTGTGTCACGTTATAAAAAGGCTCTAAAAGCAGCCAGGGCTGAGCATCTCCGCAAACTAATAGAAAATAACCAAAATAATCCAAGGTTTTTATTTAACACCGTGGCTAGACTAACAAATAAACAGACATCGCCAGAGCAAAATATTCCGTTACAGTATAGCTGTAATGATTTTATGAATTACTTCAATGAGAAAATAGGAAGCATCCGAAATACAATTGTAAATGTACAATCCTCTATGGTGTCTTATGATTCAGCCTCAATTATCGTCCCTCAAGAACAACTACACCGCTTTACAACTGTAGGACAGGAAGAGCTAAATAAACTTATCATTGCATCTAAACCAACAACATGTTTATTAGATCCAATACCCACTAAACTACTGAAAGAAGTGTTACCTGTAGTGGAAGAGCCTCTTCTTAATATTATTAACTCGTCTTTATTTTTAGGTCATGTTCCAAAAATATTCAAGCTGGCAGTAATAAAACCTCTTATTAAGAAACCGCAATTAGATCAAAATAACTTAGCAAATTACAGACCCATTTCAAATCTTCCATTTATGTCTAAAATACTAGAAAAAATTGTGTCCGCTCAATTGTGTTCTTTCTTGCAAGAAAATGAGATATATGAAAAATTTCAGTCAGGATTCAGACCGCATCATAGCACAGAAACTGCGCTAGTTAAAATTACAAATGATTTACTTTTAGCTTCTGACCAAGGCTGTATCTCAATACTAGTTCTACTCGATCTTAGCGCTGCGTTCGACACTATAAATCATAAAATACTCTTGGATCGACTACAAATCTACACTGGTGTTCAGGGACAGGCATTAAGCTGGTTCAGATCGTACTTATCGGACCGTTACCATTTTGTCTGTTTAAATGGGGAAAAATCGAAGATAACGTCAGTAGACTATGGAGTGCCGCAAGGATCGGTGTTAGGCCCTCTGCTATTCTCAATATATATGCTGCCACTTGGTAATATTATAAGAAAACATGGAATTAATTTCCACTGCTATGCTGATGACACTCAATTATATATTTCATCACGACCAGATGAATACACTAACTTATCTAAATTGACAGAATGTCTTAAAGATATAAAATGCTGGATGACGTGTAATTTCCTGCTACTAAATCCAGATAAAACTGAGGTATTACTTATTGGTCCAAAAAACTACCCACAAAATCTCTTACAATACAACTTTAATATAGAAGGATGTCCTGTTACCCTATCGACTACAGTAAAAGACCTGGGTGTTATACTAGACCGCAACTTGTCTTTCGAAAATCATATTTCGTATGTTACAAGAACAGCCTTTTTCCACCTTAGAAACATTGCTAAATTACGTAACATGCTATCTGTTTCTGATGCAGAAAAGTTAGTTCATGCATTCATGACCTCGAGACTAGATTACTGTAATGCTTTATTAGCTGGTTGTCCTGCATCTTCAATAAACAAGCTACAGTTAGTCCAAAATGCAGCCGCTAGAGTTCTTACTAGGTCCAGAAAATATGATCATATAACACCGATTCTATCATCTCTGCACTGGTTACCTATCAAGTTCCGTATCAATTACAAAGTACTATTACTGACCTATAAAGCCCTAAATGGTTTAGCTCCTGTGTATTTAATGGACCTTCTATCGCCCTACAATCCATCGCGTTCTTTAAGATCCCTAAATTCGAGGCTTCTGGTCATTCCTAGGATATCTAAGTCCACTAAAGGAGGGAGGGCGTTCTCACATTTAGCTCCTAAACTCTGGAATAGCCTTCCTGATACTGTTCGTGGCTCAGACTCGCTCTCCCAGTTCAAAACTAGATTAAAGACGCATCTCTTCAGCCAAGCATTCACATAATGCTTACCTTTTATACCACTGTTGAATCAAATCGACTGCATTAATATTATGAACAGCAGCTACGCTAATTATTTCCCATCTGCTTTTCTGCTGTTATCTCGGGACGCTAGTCCCGAGGTAAATAGCGTTCGTCAGCTCCAGTTTGTATCCAGCCTCTCACGGAGACTTCAGACGCTCCAACACCTGCGATGAGATGACTAAACGCCTATGAAGAGACGACTCGACGCCTGTGAAGAGACGACTCAACGCCGGCGATATGTTATGCCCTAAATTAATACATGATGATTAACTAACTATATTATTCTATGTACATTTCTGAAATGTACTTTCTGTAAAGCTGCTTTGAAACAATATGTATTGTGAAAAGCGCTATACAAATAAATTTGAATTGAATTGAATTGAATTGAATAATCCACGGCTAGCTGTGCATTAAACCATTTAAAGGAACTCTACAGCCGGTTCTTTGCCTCCACGTTAGGTCATGTTTCAAACTGTGACAGAAATGTATTAATCTGTGACAGAAAAGACGCATCAAATGAGTGTGTCGCCCGGTGGCTGTTTTTGGTAAAGCGCCTAAACAAAAATCTCAATTTTTGTAATATCAACTTCAAATTTGGAACAGAACTTGGTTAGACATATGGCTTTGATTTTACAGCAATTTTAGAGTAAAAATTAATTTGCAAAGTATATTTTATATAAACAAAGATGTTTAGGTACAGTACATTTCAACAACATTCCTTCAGGATTAAAAGATCCCAAATTTTCCCATTTCTTATTACACTAGTGGAGCTTTGAGTGAAAAGCATGAAGTGAAAAGCATGAGCGAGTCTGTGATTAAGTGAGACACGGCGACAGTCGTATAATCGCGTCTCCGTCAGCGTTCAGACAAAGTGCTTCCGGCTCCTCGAAACAAAGAAAGCCACAGACGCCAAACGCCTCAGAATACGGCGCGGCTCAAACACTGTCCCAGAAACCCTCCTGAACAGACACACTGATGCCACATTCGGTCAGCCCTCGGAACGCTGATGGACAGATGGGAATCGATAGGCTTTGTGTAAACGGGCCTGCTCCAACAAAACAAAAAACATGTTATGTTAATGGATGAGTTGTAAACATGCAAACATCGAGCAGGACGAGCATTAGTGTGGTTAACCTCAGGTCTGTTCACAGGCGAGTGTGGTTTGAACGTCATGTGATTCGAGACACATGTGGGCGGGGGGGGTCACATATAAAGAACATGTTTAAAGATCAACAGAGACGAAGTGAATCTGGAGAAAAACACCCCATGTGCAGATCATAATTCACTCTGAATTAATGAGAATTAATGAGCAAGCTGCATTGATTTTATGCATTGTGACAGTTTTAATGCAGTTCTAATGACAATTACAAATGTCTAACAATGCAAAAACTGTTTTAAATAAAGAAAATGGTTTTTAAAAAATTCAAAGAGTTCATTGTTGAATTTATATTTTAAAATGCATAACAGAAATAAACTAATACAATTTATTTTAATAAAATACAATTACATATTTATTAATGCATTTCAATAAAATAAATGATTAGCGATTTTTTATTTATGCATGATTAAACATTTATATTTATGAATTTAAATAAACACATTTATTAATGCATTTATTTAAATAAAATACATAAATATTGTGTTAATGTATTTAAATAAAATATATAATTTAACATTTATATTTATGCATTTATTTAAATAAAGAACATAAATATTATATTTATTAATGCATGCATTAACATAAAATATATAATTAAATATTGATATGTATTTATGTATTTAAATAAACAATACAAAAATAAATAAATGCATCAGAATAAAAATATATAATAATCTAATAACCTAAGAAATAAATATAAATAAAATGCATTCAACGTGTTAAAGATGAATAGTTCGAGTCATTTTTTATGTGTTTTGTGTCTAGTTCCTGGTAACTGTTTTGATTTCAAAGTCTTGTCTTTGGGACAGTGAATCGAGTGAAAATCGAACTGAATGTAATGAACTGATCTTATGAAGTTTGCATTTCTGTTTATGTTTATTACTGTAAATCTGCTTTGAAACGATCTGTACTGTATAAAGCGCTATATGACAAAACAAAAGTTGAAGTAGTTTTATGTTGATGCGCTTAAACAGAAATCCATACAGGTGCAGAAAATATTTAAAACACACACGAGCCGTTATAGAAATATGAGTGTGAAAAGCACACAGATCTGATGATACTTATGAGAAAAGACAGAGATATTTATGAGCTCGAACACGTTTTCTACGGGATCTTTCGCTCATTTTCCCAATCAGCAAATTTCCTCCCAAGAACTAGGATCTGGAATTCTCCGCTGGTGCCAAGAGCTCGACATTTACTCACAGCTGTCGGCAGAGCCGCCGGGATCACACACACACACACACCTAAGTCATGTAAATAGTCTCCCTGGACTGAAGCTTGATCCCGAGCCGCAGACACAACACCGGACCTCCGCTCACCTGCTTGGTCTTCGACCTGCTGATCGTGTCCGAAAGAGGTTTCTTCTTCTCCTTCACTGCCGTCTTGGAGAAAAGATCGACAAACTCCTCAAAATCCACGGATGGCTCTTCGATCGTCTCCCATACGAGAGAATGCAAGTCCCTGCGGAGGAAAACAGACATTTTTTACAGATTTATACAAGCACTCTTGCAGATGAACATGAATTAAAATAAACCCCTCGATCGAACATAACTAAATTAAACGTAGTTATAGTTAGATGCATCTCGTATCACAACTCTTTCTGATCACAGAATAAAATAATTTACACTCTAATCAACATTGACTGTATGACATGCAGTTGTGGGCGGTTAACAGGGTGTTGCTAGGGCATTGCATCCTGGTTGCTAGGGAGTTCTCTCTGCATGTTCTTTTCCAGCTTGCCTCCTAATATTATTGCCTAAATACGTGGCATTGTATATTACAAAAAAGGTTTGCTCTTTGACGAATTGCTTTTGTAAGTCGCTTTGGATAAAAGCGTCTACTTAATGCATACAGTTGCAATCGAAATTATTCAACCCCTTTCAGCTGTTTGCAATGAACAAATCAAACAAAAGTAGTTGAAATAGCTCAACACAACAAATGTTTCAAGCGGTTTCCCCAAATTTAACTGAAAATGCAACTTTTAATGACTTTTGAAGTTTTAAAATTATTCAACCCCCTGATATAATCCCTCTCAACAGCACAGATCTGAAGAACAAGAGTTGTCTCTCTAATCAAGGGCTTCATTACCTGCACCAGGTGTGCTTGAGCTAGAACACATGAAATGTCTGAACTGGCGAGGTTTGTTGAGTCACGTTTGACTGCATGTTAGAAATAAGTCAGAAGAATGGTCCAAAAAGTTAGTAGAAGATTTCATCACCCTTCACAATCAAGGAACAGGATACAAAAAGAAAGATAGCGAAGACACTAAATGTTCCTCGAGACACAGTTGGAAGCATAGTTTGCGAGTTCAGAGTTAAAGGATCAGTGGTTACTCTCCCTGGACGGGCAGGAGGAAGATATCAACGGTTCAGAGAAACCCTGGAGTGACTGCAGAAGAGCTGGTGGCCACAGACACTGAGGTGCAGCTCGTACAGAACTCCAGGACTACACCTCTACTGACCCAAACGCACGAGAAAAGAGCTCAAAATCATGTGAATAAGCCACAGAAGTTCTGAGATTCTGTTCTGTGGAGCGATGAAACTAAACTGGAGCTTCTCGTCCCTCTGGATCAGCGGTGTGTTTGAGGAGGAATGAAGCATAAGCTGTAAGAACTCTGTCTACAGTTCAGCGTGTGGAGCTCGTGATGCTCTGCGCTGATCTATATCCTCCGGCTCTGCAAACCTGCAGCGTGAGGAAGGAGAGATGATCACTGAAGGATCAGGAGATCCTGGGAGGATTCAGTGAGGAGGCTGGAGCTCGGACCTTCAACAGGACAGCGATCCCAAGCGTTCCTCAGACTCCACTCAGGCTTGGTGTCAGGAGAAGTGCTGGGAGATACAGTGGCACCACAGTCTCCTGACTCGAACCCCATAGAACACCTCTGGTGGGATGTGAAGGCCAGGAATATCCCAGAACTGGAGGCCGGTGCTCATGAGGAACGGCTCAGATCCCTCAGGAACAGAAGCTGCTGTCGATTATACATCTCGCTTCAGCAGCTCAACAGCAGACGGCTGCTCTACTCAGAGCTCAAGACGCTTGCCATGGAGGCGAATCATTTTGAAACTGCAGAAGTCATTAAAAGTTGCATTTTGAGTTAAATTTGGGGAAATCACTTGAAACATTTGTTGTGTTGAACTATTTCAAGTACCTTTGTTTGATTTGTTCATTGCAAAACAGTCTGTATATGTTGCCAATAAACCTGATTTGCAATGGCGGGTGAATAATTTCGATTGCAACTATATAAACCACAGTGACTATAGTATTTTGGCTATTAGCATGGTGATTTTTGAAAGCAGAACAGATCAAAATGAGGAAATGGTTGTAAAGCAGAAGTACTTTTTGGTGTTCAGCTGAATGCGTGTCCAGTACAGCGGTTTCATGGGTCTCGGCGGCTCCACAAGGCTCTTGCGAGGTGGTTTCTCATGTGCCGCTCCTAATGCGAACAGACCCAGCGGCAGCGGAGGCGGCAAAGAGCCCAAACCAAAGGTCAGAGGAGGCGCAGAGGCTCCGGGAGCCATAGATGGAGGAGGTGGTGGTGGAGGAGGTGGTGCAGACAGACCTGACAAAGGAGGTGGAGGAGGAGGTGCACTCATTCCTGGTAGAGGAGGTGGAGGAGGAGGCGCTCCTGGTAAAGGAGGTGGAGGAGGCGGCGCACTCATTCCTGGTAGAGGAGGTGCTCCTGGTAAAGGAGGTGGAGCAGGAGGCGCACTCATTCCTGGTAGAGGTGGTGGAGGAGGAGGTGCTCCTGGTAAAGGAGGTGGAGGAGGCGGCGCACTCATTCCTGGTAGAGGAGGCGGAGGAGGAGGTGCTCCTGGTAAAGGAGGTGGAGGAGGCGCACTCATTCCTGGTAAAGGAGGTGGAGGAGGAGGCGCACTCATTCCTGGTAAAGGAGGTGGTGGAGGCGGCGGCAGCACCGAAGCACCCGGCTGCTGCTGGCAGACACACACAAACGCTTGAGAACAAGCCTGAGACTTAGAGCAGGAGTCACTCCCTCCGGGCGCCTGCGCCTCCACAGGAGGTACTTTAAACCTAAAGCTCTCGTCCACAGGAGACGTTTGCACCGATTTGGCCTCCAGTGGAAGCAGCGCAAAGTTTTCTGTCTGCAGGTCCACATGGCAGACGTTGGGCACGAGGCCCTCCTCCCCCCCGCACTCCTGGTCCTGCGTGATGACCTCCCGCTCCAGCAGGGGGGGCTGTTTCTCCAGCTCCGCGATCTTACTGCGCAGGGCCTCGATCGTCTGCTCCAGCTGCTCGATCACGCAGACGTGCTCCTGCTTCAGACTCACCGTCTTCAGCACAGACTCCTCCTGCAGAGAGAGGGGGGGGGGGGGGGGGGGAGAGGTGTGATGAGAAGCAGATAAACGCAACGAACAGAAACAGATAAATCTGGGTTTCTCTTCCACTTAAGTCACTGATGTTCAGGCCACAACAAATGTATGTGAAATGTGGACAGAACTGATGAGGAGCACCACCTCCACCAGGAGTAAGTGCACCTCCTCCTCCTCTACCAGGAGTAAGTGCACCTCCTCCTCCTCCTCTACCAAGAGTAAGTGCACCTCCTCCTCCTCCTCCTCTACCAAGAGTAAGTGCACCTCCTCCTCCACCAATAATGCACCACCTCCTCCTCTACCAAGAGTAAGTGCACCTCCTCCTCCTCTACCAAGCGTGCACCTACTCCTCTACCAAAAGTGCACCACCTCCTCCTCTACCAGGAGTAAGTGCACCTCCTTGACCTCTACCAAGAGTAAGTGCACCTCCTTCACCTCTACCAAGAGTAAGTGTACCTCCTTCACCTCTACCAAGAGTAAGTGCACCTCCTTCACCTCTACCAAGAGTAAGTGCACCTCCTTCACCTCTACCAGGAGTAAGTGCACCTCCTTCACCTCTACCAAGAGTAAGTGCACCTCCTTCACCTCTACCAAGAGTAAGTGCACCTCCTTCACCTCTACTAAAAGTGCACCTCCTTCACCTCTACCAAAAATGCACCTCCTTCACCTCTACCAAAAGTGCACCTCCTTCACCTCTACTAAAAGTGCACCTCCTTCACCTCTACCAAAAATGCACCTCCTTCACCTCGACTAAAAGTGCACCTCCTTCACCTCTACCAAAAGTGCACCTCCTTCACCTCTACCAAAAGTGCATCACCTCTTCCTCTACCAAGAGTAAGTGCACCTCCTCCACCTCTACCAAAAGTGCACCACCTCTTCCTCTACCAAGAGTAAGTGCACCTCCTCCACCTCTACCAAAAGTGCACCTCCTCCTCCTCTGCCAGGAGTAAGTGCACTTCCTCCTCCCCCTCTACCAGAGTAAGTGAACCTTTGTGTGTGTGTGTATATATATATATATATATATAATATATATATTAGTGCTGTCAGTTAAACGCGTTATTAACAGCGTTAACGCAAACCCATTTTAAAGGCGTGAAAAAATTTATCGCGAGATTAACGTTCTTTTTGGCCTAGCAAACTTTGTAGTTTTTTTTCACATGCCATTACAACAACTAGAAACGTTAGAAAAACTATAACACCACACCTAACTTGACCAGAAACAAAACAACAGGCACGCCGCACACACTTGTTTGGGCTTTTGAGCCGGCCAAATTGTAGGGTAACGTTACGTTTTGAGCGGATGACGAGCGCGAGACGCCGAAATGGATTCAATTAGATTCTAAATGGAAAGTTTACTTTTAAAAAGTTGCCAAATGTTTCCATTGAATTTGCGTCAAACTTGCTAATGCACCACATAAAATCATTAGCGCGTATTGCATCAGAGGCTCAATTCGCATCATTCTTGCGAACTGAATGCGCGAATGAGGCGAATTCGCATCTACCGCGCCGCGCTAAACGCCTCATTCGCGCAGCAGAGTAAACGCGTCTTTAAATTGAAATCACTTGATCCAGATGCTCTATTTGCATTTGGTGTGAACGCACCACTACTGTTCATTCTTTCTGTAATAAGAGGCTGGGTTGATGAGCCTCTAATGAATAAAGAGCAGTAGCCTGACTGCTATGTTCAAAGCAAACTTGAAGTAATAAGCCATGGTTTAACTGCACTATAGGCTGAGTCCTAGTTTCCCTTACATGTGCACTTTGTAATTTTATTTTGTATCGTCCTGTTTTGATCCCTTAGAAAGGGCTGTTTGTGTGACAAAATATTTTTTCACCCTTTTATTGATGGACAGTGTTACATGGTGTAAAGATTATGTGCTCCAAGTGTGAATGTTAGTGTGAAACTGAACACTACAGTATATATGCCAATATTGTTTTCAAATAAAAAAACATTTGCACAAAGCAAGCCGATCCACTTTTCCATGTTGATGAGCATTAAAATGAGAAAAAAAAAATAATGGGACAAAAAGAAATCAAGGGACATTAAGAATAGATAAATATGTGCGATTAATCGCGAGTTAACTATGACATTAATGTGATTAATCGCGATTAAATATTTTAATCGTTTGACAGCACTAATATATATATATAAACACTGATACTGTTTCAACAGAGTCTGCTAGTAGTCTATAATCATCTAGTGAAGCACTGAAGTCTACAGTAATGCTGCCCTCTGCTGGTCACTCACACTGAAGCACTCCTGCTCTCTCTCTGTGTGTGTGTGTGTGTGTGTGTGTGTGTGTGTGTGGTAATGCTGCCCTCTGCTGGTCACTCACACTGAAGCACTCCTGCTGTGTGTGTGTGTGTGTGTGTGTGTGTGTGTGTGTGTGTGTGTGTGTGTGTGTGTGTGTACACAGTAATTCTCCCCTTTGCTGGTCACTCACACCGAAGCACTCTTGCTCTCTCTCTGTGTGTGTGTGTGTGTGTGTGTGTGTAGTAATGCTGCCCTCTGCTGGTCACACTGAGGCACTCCTGGTGTTCAGCTCATGACAGATGTTGATTTTCTACTTCTGAGATCAAACAAACTCGGGGAACTATTAAGCCTCCATCCAGCAGCAGAGCGATCGAGGTGAACACACACTCGGCCAAATATGACGGATTCAGAATCAGATGTCTCGTTTCCATGAGACGAGCTTCTCACGCATCCAATCAATAAACCCCAGACAGACAGAAGAGCTGAACACACACTTTCTGCACTTAAAGACAACCATTTTAATCAGATTTGTCATGGGGACACTGAGCTTCAACTTCAATACTTGAAGTCATGAGAATACATGTTCATATAGATGTTAATATGAGAGGAGACGCACCTGAATTTGCCGAATTTCTTCTTCCTTTTGTTTCGTAATTTCTGAGACGACAGCCTGATGCTCTAAAACACACACACACACATAAACTCAATATCTACAGTACTGTAAATATGAATATAAAGTTGTGAATGTACGTGAGAAATCTCAGTAAACACACACGATCATACTTCAATATGTAGTCAGTTATTCATTTTGATCGCTATGGTGATGAGGACAGATGTCGATGTGGATGGAGGAGAATGGTTGCTAGGCAACATTAGTAAACAAACAGCAGCACGTGAGAAAAAGAGCCTTAAATGAGCTAAAATGTTTTAATTTCTCTGAAGTAATGATGTAATTTGCCTCTGATGGCGATGTTAAACGACACACAGAAGTGATTGAGTTACTCACCCTCCTGCTCCTCGACCGCTGCAAACCACCAGTGAGAGAAATAATCTAGTTTAGACACTCTAAGAGACGAACCTTGTAATAATTAAGATTATTTACGTTTTTACAGAAGTCTCTTCTGCTCACCAAGAATGTCTTTTCTTATCGAAAATACAGTTAAACCGTGAAATTGCAAATTCAAATAAGTGTTTTCTATGCGTTTCGCAGTTAATTGATCAAAAGTGACAGTAAAGACAGTTATAATGTTACAAATGATTATATTTCAAATAAATGCTGTTCTTTTGAACTTTCTATTCATCAAAGAATCCTGAAAAATAAAATGCATCACAGTTTTCATAAAAAATATGACCTGTTTTTGTTCAACATTAATAATAATCATTGTATCACACAGGGTCAAATGAGCACATTATATGAATCAGTTTAATGTTTTATAGGTTTGTGATTCCAACGCGATTTAACTGTTTTCTGACAATAAACAACATGTATAACATAAAAAAGATGAATAGCTTTACTGTTTGAATAACTGTCTCATTCAGACAGAGCGCTGACGCTTGCAACGCCAAGGTCATGGGTTCGATTCCCAGGGAAAGCAAGAATAAATGTAATGTAAATGAATGCTTCAGTTTGACGAATGCAGTCGGAACTAAACTTGAGAGAATGGAGGGAGATCTTCCCGCCATCTTGCCCAAATGATGTCACTTCCTGGGAGTCACAACTTTAGGCATGATTTGAATAGGGACAAACCCATGCTGGATTTATAGCAAGCGCAACCTTCCCGTCCCTCTCTTGAATCCGACACTGAGTGAGTTAACCTGCAGTTCCTCCACTGGCCACTAGAGGCCGGCTGCAGAAGAGACTCAATCCCATAGACCCGCATAGAGCCCTGCACGGGCCTCAAATCTAGGCCCTAGCCCGGCCCTGCCCCGAGACGCTCAGGCCCTAGCCCGGCCCGTGTCCGACAGCTCATCAGAATGATCAGCCCGAGTCCGACCCGAGCCCGTAAAAAAAAAAAAATAAAAAAAAAAAAATAAACAGCCTGACCTATGTTGCAGTCAGTAAACCAGATATATTTTGTTTTCAATGGCAAAGTATTTACCGGTAAGTTTATTTTCATTTCTTTATACAGTTAATTAAGAAAAAACAACAACAAAAATTTATGACGACCAAGCAGCCGACAGCGAGTTAAACATGTTTGATCCATTGATTGATTTATAGCCTCTCAAATCAACACTTTACTTGGCTACAATAAAATCCATAGATATAAAACAACTTAAGCATATCACACAGACAGTTAACGTTAGTTTAAACGTTTATTGTCATTTTTGAAAAGCTGAGGCAAACTGCTCTGCTGCTCAGTCGCAACAGCGCTCGCAAACTAAATGAATTTATAATATAGGCTACAATACAGAGAATGCAATCTAAACAAATCAAATAAATTACATTAAAAACAAACATGCAGGTTATCTTACCTCAAAAATCAAGTCTTCACTACAGAACATGGCCATTTCCAATAGTTTCCAACAGACTCATGAAAATAAAGTCCAATCAAACAAAAAACAACCTCCTCCTAACATGGCTAAGAACAGTCTCAGAGCATCGTGAAGAAAAAGCACAGCATCCACAGTGGAAGGTTTTAATCCAGTCGTACTTTTTCCAGCTGCGCTGAAGTCACGCTCGCTACCATAGCGGGACACTAGAACGAGCCGGTCGCGCGAATCTCAGATCGCGCCGCCGGGAAACCTGTGTGTGTGAGCGTGAGCATGAGCATGAGCAGACTGTCATGTGTCAGTCATATGTCAGTGTGATAGGCTATAAAACGTCTTTCTATGTTTGCTTTTCAATCGTCATCTTCTCATGTTTTATTTTAATTAATGTCTAAAATAGGCTATAAAAAAGATAAGCCTAAAACAGGCCCGAGGCCCGGCCCGCGTGTGAACTATGACGTGAAAATTGGCCCGAAGCCCGGCCCTAGGAGCATAAATAAGTCGGGGCCCGTCGGGCTCGGGCTGAAATGCAGGCCTCTAGACCCGCATGTTAAAATGCACAACTTTACAGCAGAATAAACATGTTTACAGTCTGGTGTTAAAAGTGGTTTTGGTCTATATCGCTAATGTTGCCCTTCATGAAAACTGTGAGGGGGTGAATTTTTTTATAACTCATCTGTTTAAATTATATTAAGCCTTAAAGTTCTGCATAATTAAGGGCGTGGCCACTTGAGTGACAGGTGGATTGGCACTGATGTCACTACTAGCCGTTTGTCTGCTGTGTATTAGCATCACGTCACCTCAGCTAATCCGCCTAGCTGCCCATTGTCGTTTATCCGCGAGTGACGCGCGGCCAAGATGGCGACGGCCGGCTCCGCCCACTTTGGACTTCAAAAACGCTCTTCAGAAACACTACGGGTGACGTCACACACACTACGCACATATGTTTTTACAGTCTATGGTTTATAGAGTGTGTGTTCCTACCGTCCTCTGTGTATTTGGGCTCGGGCCGCTCGTCTCCGGGTCGGGTCGGGGGCCACAGGCTCCTCAGGTGTCCAGGCAAACGCTCCAGCGATGGAGGAGGCTGGCTCACTGCCGCCCATGTGTACAGCTGATCATGCTGGGGGGAGAGAGAGAGAGAGAGTGTATTTAAATATAACTGTGTTACACAGTCATGCTAATAAAGCTAATTTGAAATTGAGAGAGAGAGAACGAGAGTTCTGAAACATGGTTTTCAGATTACGGCGAGTGTTGCTCTGGCTCTATCAAGAGCTGAGATTCAGATGGTAATGAGCGTTTGGTTTCCGACCAATCAGAGCAGCTCTCGGAGAGGCGGAGCTTACAGAGACTGAATCCTCGATAGAAGCGTTTCAGACACAGAGAAAGAGCTGAAGCTGCAGTGGAGATTATGAGGACATTACAGTGTTTATGACTTTGTAAAGCTGCTTTGAAACAAATCTGTATTGTAAAAAGTGAATAAACACAGTGACATGCTTGAAGTTATATACCCATAAAACAAAAACTGACATAAACCTGCAGTAATGTAACCACAAACTTTCACCTCACAGCTCGACAACTTTTAATTCGGCTTAAAACTCACAGCACAGACTCATGCGGGACTGGAGGAACTTCCCCTGCATGTTCACACTCAAGCGTTCCCGAGGAATGAGTTCAAAAGCTGAAAACTAAACTGAGGCTCAGATGTTTGGAAACACACATGAGAATAAACAGCGCCTCACACAGGCCAGGATGAGGAACGCACTTCAGGAGTGGAACCGAGAATGCTGGGAAATGCAGTTCTGCAAAAACCTTCTAAATCGCAGGTTTACCATTCTTCCTCAACCACACAAAAAAATGTAAATGTAAAATGATTTATAACGTCAACATTTGCAAATAAAAAAAATTTTACATGATCAATTTGCAAAATTAGGCTTTTTTATTTTAATAACAATTAAAATAATAGCATCTAACTCAGCTAACGAGCAATTAACTACTATTTAAAAAAATTGTCATTTTTGGTTCAAGTTTTACGGTTAAAAAGAAACAAAATAATAAACAACAAAATTACTCATACTAAAATGAAAAGGCAATATAAATTAAAAAACTTTCAAAATATTAACAAAAAAATATTTATTCAAAATATTAATAAACCGTATTAATGACACTAAAATAAAGGTGCACTGTAGTCCACATGAAACCCAACTTTATAGAGAACCACCAAACGAACCGACACAAACTCTCAGACGCTGATCAGGGATCTATGACCTGCTCATGAACTCAGAGGTCAGAGGTCAGAGGTCAGACCTGCAGGAGCTCTGGCCTGCTGGCGCTGTGGGCGATCGAGCCGGACCGGGTCCAGTCGTGTTCCTCGGTCCTCTTCATGACCCGTGATCACATGACCTGCATCCTCTCATCCGGCACCGCTGCCCATCGCCGTGGCAACAAGCACACGTGCAGCGAACACACACGCATGCACTTCAGTCGCTGGTGCTGTCGGTCTCCATGTTAAACCTCAGATGTGTGACTCAGCGGAAACACACACACACTGATGGTCCGGGATATCCGGCCCCAGCGCGGCTCAGTCCCGCGTCACCAGATAACAACACGATTCTGACCGATCTGACGATCCTGCAGTGAGATCAGGTTACTTTAACGAGAGAGAGAGAGAGAGAGAGAGAGAGAGAGAGAGAGAGAGAGAGAGAGAGAGAGAGAGAGAGAGAGAGAGAGAGAGAGAGAGAGAGAGAGAGAGAGAGAGAGAGAGAGAGAGAGAGAGAGAGAGAGAGAGAGAGAGAGAGAGAGAGAGAGAGAGAGAAGAGAGAGAGAGAGAGAGGAGAGAGAGAGAGAGAGAGAGAGAGAGAGAGAGAGAGAGAGAGAGAGAGACTAGACTGAGCAGTGGAGGGTTTGGTGCTGGAGAGATTACTGAGTGACGTCTGAGCAGACTGATGATGAGCCTGAAGATGAGCCGAGCGCAGAGAGCAGTACGATATAATCGATGCGCGAGCCAGATCAGAATCAGATAACTAAATGCCACAGACTCACACACACAGACAAACACAGCACTCACTCACACACACACACACACACAGACTCACACACACACACACACACACACACACACACACACACACACACACACACACACACACACACACACACACACACACACACACACACACACACACACACACACACACACACACACACACACACACACACACACACACACACACACACAGACTCACTCACACAGCAAAATTCTAAAAATAATTGTTCTTTACACTCAAATATTCAGGGCTAAAACCAGCAGGCGTATCAGACTCTGTTCGTCAGCAGATGCTCGGACGGTTCTCAGCTTCTTGGGAATAAGACGATGATGCAGAGCTATTTCTGGTAAGAGCCAATCACAAACAAAAAGCAGATCACATGATGCCAACCAGAGCCAATAAGAGACGACAAAATGTGGTCATTCATCAGTGTGTTAATATTCTAAAGCTCCAATCCAAAGATTTAAACAAACTCAGTTCAGGCTGAATTAATTGCTCAAGTACTGAGAAACGGTGTCGATTCTCAAAACCAGCCCACAGAAAACAAGACACCAAAACCATCAAATTATAATAAAATATGGAGCAAAACCATAAATCCCTCTCGTACCGCGGCACTGAGAGTTCCTTCAGAAATGCAGGATTAGCAAATTCATCTTTTAATAACATTAAAGTACCTCTATTATGTAATATATATATTACAATATCTTTAGTATTTTTTAAACTTAAACTACAAATATAATGTCTCCAAAATTTATATAAATACAAAGTTTATAATGGTTATTACTGTTCAATAAATAATACTTTTTATATTATAACGGTGGCATACTTGGTATCGAGAAAAGGTCTGATGGGGGTTTATCAGTGTTCATTTTGCCTGAAAATATTGTGTTTGTGTAAAAAAAAAAAAAAAGAAGATATTTCATGTATATTGTATTTAAATAACTCAAGCACTTTTCAAAGTACCTTTTCGTAAATATGGCAGTTTTCAAGAGTTTTCCAGGACTTAAATTTCAAAAAGTAAAATTCAAGCACTTTAAGCACCCTGAACGAACCCTGTAATTAGCATAATGCCCTCCTCTGGTCCTGATTGGCTGAGCAGCGTTTTTAAGCTCCGCCCTCAAACACTGTAGTGTATCTGAGACTGGAAGAGTTCGGCTTGTTCGTGTCGAGGAGACGCTGTTTTCTGAGATTAAGACGGTGAAACCCACGCCATCGTCACTGTTCGTATCACGAAAATTCATATAACAAAAATAATAAACAGCGGTATTCGGTCTGAAGCGGTGTAGCGCCCAGCCCTATAACAGGGGCCCTTTAATACAGTGAGTGTGAGGTCTACCCGGACTCACGTCGAACTTGGGCCCGATGTGTGCGCTGCTGCCGCTCGGCTCCCGGAAGCAGTCGCTGAAGGGCAACAGGAGACCCAGAGCCAGGATCCTGGAGCAGATCCTCTCCACCTCCTCCGGCTCGCTGCGCTCCTGCTGCTGGAAGAACCGCTCCAGCAGCGTCCGGCCTAAACACACACACACACGAATCAGGCATTTCACGTAAATATGTCAATGTTTTTTCCTTAAAAAAAAAATCTTCATGCCTTAAAATGTCTTGAATGTAACTCGACACCCTTGCCTCATTTAGTATGCGCGGTTCTATGAATATGCAAATGAGCCCCGCCTCCACTCACTCACTCAGCTCAGAGATCCACTGGTTGACGATCTCACGTTGATCTGATTGGTTACAAGGTCGTTTGTGACGTCAGAAACACCAGCGATTTCAAACCGTGTGTTTGAGACTGTCTTTGGTTCACTGCAGTTTTAAGGAGGAGATACTCAGCAATGCTGTCGACTTATGAACTTACACATGTGTGTCTTAAAGCACATAAAAAACACATTTAAATCTGGATTTTCAGCACAGGGGGACTTTTTATGTTTTATTCCAAACACAGGCTGCATTTCAAAACCTAAACAACATATTAGAGCCCGACCGATATACGGCGGGCCGATATTAGGCATTTTCCAAACTATCGGTATCGTCATTTATAATGGCTGATAAATTAATATTTAAACAATAAAATAAAAACGGACGAAACGCCCTTCAACCATGTTATGAGTGTTTGCGTTGCATGGTTTGTCCACCAGAGGGCAACACCAGCTGATCCAGAGTCAGCCAGAGCGAACATCCACCACTTTAAGTTTCATATCTTAAGTTTGTATTTTTATACATTTTATTTATCAGAACTTTAATATAGTTTGATGTTCCTCTGTTCTGTTGTGACAATAAAACATACAAGTTTATTTTTTTTAAACTGCATCATATTTTAGTGAGGCTGAAGACTCAAATAACTACAAATAACTAAAGTTAGGGAAATCTGTTTATGTTTTGTTACGCGTTTCTGGATCAGACGATATATCGGATTTTTAAAATCACCAAATATTTGTATCGGTATCGGCCTTAAAAATCCTTTATTGGCTCTACGACACATTCAGGCAGCAATGTTAGTCCATTAGTTACGGAGGAAAACGGAGTGTGTCGGTGCTGTAATTTCTGCAGTGCACACACAGATTGTTGTGAATGAGTCACTGCTGCAGTGCTTCAGCTCTCACACACACACACACACACACACACACACACACACGTACATCTATCTTTATGAGGACATTCATTGACACAATGCAATCTCTAGCTCCTTACCCTAACCTTACTCATCACAACTAAGTGCTTAACCCGAACCCTTACCCTAAACCTACCCTTAACCTAATTATAACCTTATCCCTAAAACCAAGTCTTGACCCTCAAACAGGCCTTTAAAGGGGTCTCAGAAAGTGAGGACCGGCCAAAATGTCCTCACTTTACTCTCTTTGTCCTCACTCCAATGGTCTAAAACTCAAACTGGTCCTCACAAAGATAGTTGTACAAGTACACACACACACACACACACACACACACACACACACAGCTGTGGAAGCTGGTTTCCACACGGAACAAGAAAATAAAAATAATTTTGAGAAGTCGGTTACCTTATTTTTTTTTTTTAGAAACTCAATTGCAAGAAAAAAAAACTATACATCTAATATATTTCACAATTCTGCAGGGGGAAAAAAGTCATAACAAGAAATAAACTGATAATTGCAAGATATAAAGTCCAAATTGTGTGATATAAACTTGCATTTGCGCGAAATAAAGTCAGAATCGTGAGAGATTTAAAAAAATATATACATTTCAAAATACTTAAAAAGTCAGAATTGCACGATATAAACATGGAATTGCAATAAAGTTAGAAAGGCAACAAATTAAGTCACAATTGTTAGATATAAATTTGAAACGGCAAGAAACAAAATGGCGAGAGAAAAAACCCAATATGTTTCACAATTCTTAGAAAAAAGGCAGAATTGTCAGATATAAACTCAATTGCTATAATATAAATTGCAAGACAGTCAGAATTGCAATAAAGCAATTATTTAACATTAGTTTATACGCAATAACGCATGTTTTTTTGTTGTTGATTAAAACAAATATAAATTATCTGCCACAATTGAGCACATCATTTTAAATCAGTGTGGCGATTCCATCCAGCAGTTATTTTAGCAATATCGCCACATGCACATAAAAATGGGTGGATGGAAACATGGCTAAAGTCAGAATTGCATTATTGCGTACGATTACTATTTAAAAATGTTTAATTCCATAGCAGAAACAAGTGTGATTTTTTTCAGAGACTCTTTTGAGTTTACAGCTCATTAACTTCATTAGCATGTCAATAAGAACAAGGAAACACGGTCAGAGAGCCAAGACACAGCCAGGTGCATCATGGGAGATGCAGTTCTGCTGTTGAAGTCACGTTCTCCTGTCTCTACAGATGAATGATATCAGTGAGCTTATCAATATTTGTCGTTTTAATGGATCAGCATTGAGGCGATTATGAGTTCAGTGTGAGAAAAGACAGAAGCATTAGCCTGGAGCAACACACACACACACACACACACTCACGGGCGACTGGCAAGCGTTTAGAGATTTGACATGGTGTGTGTAACCCGACGGACCATGAGAAGAGAACAAGAGGAGCAAGAGCGAGTCTAAAGCCGTCCAAGCGCTGGAGGAAACGATCTGAGCTTCTGCTGGGTCTACAGCAAAGGCACAACGCTTGCACTGCACAAAAAGAGATTTTCATCCTCATTTGTAAAGAAAAAACATTAATTTTGCTTCTCAAGTGAATGCATCTTGATTTAAAAATGTTTAAAGTCTTGTTTTCTGTAAAATGCATAAAAATAAAGCGAATATGCTTTAAAAAAAGGGGAAAAACTGCCAGTGGGGGCAGAAAAATAGACTTTATTTAAAAGAAAAACAATAATTGTCACTTAACTTTGATAAATTTCTCAAAAAACAAAACTTAATATCTTCAGTCATGTTGTAAATGCATCTTGATTTAATAATGTTTAGATATTAGTGCTGGAAACGAGACAGAAACACTGAGGAAGAGCATCATATTCTGTGTGTTGATCAGAAAGTCTGCTAATGTATAATAAATGTCAGATATTAAAGTGGTTCCTCTGCGGATTAGCTTCTCTCTTAAAGATAAATGTACTTTATTGGCATCGATGGGTCCACAAAGAACCTTAAACATCCGCAGAACCATTAAAGCGCTTTACTGTGGAAAAGGTCCTTTAGATTATTAAAATTAACAATAAAAAGAAAGAACAAGAGTAGAATGGCCACAGCAGAGTCACATGACGTCTCTAGCGTTGATCCGGCGGCCGGTTCCCATCGACCCGCATCTCGCCGCTCAATACAGCCTAACATGTGCTCTGAGCTTCAGCATCCTCTCGCGATCTGATTGGCTGAGAGCGAGCGAGTGATGTCACTAATGGACAAGAGTCCTCGGGGTCTGATCAGCACGATGCCATCTGCTCTCGCGTGTGTGTGTGTGTGTGTGTGTGTCAGACCCGGAGAAAAGAAGGGATCCAGATCCTGAATTACACTATATATACACTAGGGGTGGAACGGTACACAGAAGTCACGGTTCGGTTCATACCTCGGTTCAGACATCACGGTTCGGTACGATTTCGGTACAATGGAGTGAAAAGCAAAGCAAAAATGCAGAAGGCATTTTTATAAATGTCTTAAACCTTGTATTTTTTTAAATAAGTTTTATTAATAAAGGCATAGAACCAGTTTATTTGTAGTGCACTGACAGTAGTTTTATATAATTAGTTTATTAATTAAATTATTAAAAAGACGAAAAGACCTTGAGATATGTTTGGTAATTGTACCTGAATGAATTTAAAATTAATTTGCTATTTCAGATCAAGATATTTGTTTTCCTTCATTTTAATTAACTAACTTTATTCTCATCTGAATTATAAATAATTGATTTCCGTATAAAATAATACTACCATAAAAACTTTTGTTAACAGTTGTAGGTTACAGTTTGACAAGAGTTTAGAGTGTGACAAAAGCACAATGTTGTGTTTTATTTCCAGTGTACACAAATATAAGTAAACAATTTGAAGTTTTAATGATGTCCTGTATGAAAAAAATGACGGAGTATGTTTTTACGTTTCCACTGTTCGATCGCCCGTGCCTCTCTCTCTCACACACACACACACACACACACTGTTCATCGCGCGATTCGCGCCCGCGCCTCTCTCTCTCTCTCTCTCGCACGCGCGCGCACACAAACACACACACACTGTTCATCGCGCGATTCGCGCCCGCGCGCGCGCGCACACACACACACACACTGTTCATCGCGCGATTCGCGCCCGCGCCTCTCTCTCTCGCACGCGCGCGCACACACACACACACTGTTCGATCGCGCCTCTCTCTCTCTCTCTCTCTCGCGCGCGCACACAGACACACACACTCCTGCGTTGCAATCTTGATCGCAGCCTGTTCATTGCTGCGTTAACAGTCACACCAAAAGCGAATAGAGCGAAATTTATCGCTATTTAAGAGGTTTTTTTTTTTTATTTGTACCGTGTATTCTGCGTGCAAATTCGTGCACCGAACCGTGACGCCCGTACCGTTTCGGTTCAATACGAATACATGTACCGTTCCACCCCTAATATACACTATAGTATACTATAATTATACTTCTATATAAGCTCATTATGAACATTAGCAGTTGATGAACACAAACTCCAGGACTAACACTAGTGCTCACAGTTAGTGTAATAATTGTGATAATCATTTCAGTTTTGCTTTTCCAGTAAATGCTCTGAATGATTTCAATCAAACAAGACAAAAATACTGAGGAAGAACATCTTATTTTGCACAACAATGAGTCTCATCCATTCACGAACACAAAGAGCTCTGCCTTGGCATCTGCCCTGCCATCCCATAATGCCTCGCTTCAGGACAGAGACATGTGTACGTTCTGAATAGTATGAATCAAATGTGGATGTGCAGTACAGCATCCGCCATGTTGTTATTGTCATGTGACCTACAGTGTCACTTCACCTCCATTCAGGGATATTATATTAATATATATTTTTTTATAAACTACCATCAACAAAGATTAATACTGTACCAAATGCATTGATCAATGTTAGTTCTTGTTTAACCATTTAAAGTCTGACGAATGATAATAGTCAGAAAAATCTATTTTTTTAATAGAAGAGTTTATTAAACCTTTAGATAAATAAATGTGTGATTTTTCTTGAGCATCATATTTGACACATTAGAGATATTAGAAATTTGTGAAGTAAATATTATACAGTGGGCCTTATAGGGTTAAAAGCACCAGATTTTTGGGGGAAAACACTAATATTTTCTAGTATCTAGTACAACAAGGTTCCATGAACTAACAATAAAAACGTCTAAATCATATTAATCTTAATGTGTATCTCAACAGTTATGATCAAAAGCTGCATCCGTTAACATTAGTTAATGCACTGTGAACGAACACCAACCAAGGTTCATTTTGTAACAAATGCATTGCTCAATGTTCGTTCTGACAAATGATAATGGTCAGAATAATATATATATATATATATATATATATATATAAAAAAAAAAATTTAAAAGGAAGTTTATTGAACTTTTAGATAAATTATCAAAAATGAATTTTAAAAAAATATGCATGTGTGATTTTTCTCGAGCATCTTATTTGATACTCGATACATTAGAACTGTGTGTATTATGGCGCTTTTCCATTACCAGTACCAGCTCGACTCGAGTTTAGTAACTATCTCTGGCCAAACTACTTAAAAATGGCGGGTTTATTCTGGATACTCCATCTGGCGCGTGCAATGATGACGCAGATTCTCTGTGACCAATCAGCAGTCGGCATTGTTTTCACGTCACATTTTAGTATCGCCTTAGAACCTCGCCGGAGGTGGTACGAAAAAAAGTACCCGAAAGCAGGTACAGGTACAACTTTTACACAGTGGAAAACCAAACAAAGGCGAGGCGAGCTGGTACTGTGTAGTGGAAAAGCGCCATTAAATGATACAGTAGGCTTTATAGGGTTAAACCACCAGATTTGGGGGGGAAATCTCACTAATATTTTGTCTTCATTTCATTTTAAAAACTCCTACACTAACACTAACTTTTTTAAAAGTACAAATATTCCGTACAAAAGTTGCATCCGCTAAAATTAGTTAATGCACTGTGAACTAACATTAAAAAAAAAGTTAATAAATAAATGCATTGTTCTTGTATATTTATATAGCACTGTTAAAACACAACCAAGGTTGAACCAAAGTGCTTTACATAAAAGGTTTTACTATTTTAACTTTACTATGAAAAATCAGGACACACACAGACCAATAAATAGACAAAACAGCCCATCTAACCCTATACGCCCCAACATTAGGCAGCTTTCAACAAACTCTTACACTATTACAGTAAAGGCCCGGTCGCCTTTATATAGGCGGTGTTCTGGGCGCTATAAGTAGCTTTTGATTCTTATTGCTCTATTAGTTCATGCAAAGGGTTAATAAATAAATGCACAAATTATTAGTTTGTGCATTAGCTAATGTAAAGAAGCGCGAGGTTACGGTGAACTACTGCCGGTCTCGAGCCTCACCTGTGAACACCTCCTGGAAGCCGCATGCCGGAGCCTGGGATGCAGACGGTCTCCGTGTGCGGCCCGTCCTCAGCGTCCCCTCCGAGCCACCGTACTCCAGATAGGCAGCGGACCCGCCGGCTTTAGGGGCCCGCATCTCCTCGGTCCAGTCTGCGGACCGGCTGAAGGGTCCGGTGATGCTGTGCGAGCGCTGGCGCTTGAGCCGCCTCCTGTCGGGCCGAGGGGCCCGGGGACTGTGTGTCGGCGACGGGGCCGGCGAACACGAGGGAGAGCTCAGCTGACGCGTCGTGGTCTTGATGTACGACGTGCTGATTGGTGGATACGGCTTCACCGAGGACTTCAGGAGCCGCGTGGCTAAAGGGCTGTCCGTGTGCGACGGGAACGTCACGCTAGTCTTCCGCCGCGGCTCGTCAGCGCTCACACACTCCACCGACCCCGCCGAGAGCGTGTCCGTGCTCGGGGCCGAATCCTCCTCGGCTTCAACCGCGCTCTCGAAAGAGGCGCTGAGATCCGGGAAGCTGGTCGCCATGGCAACCGTGGGATCGGGAACGGGGGAGTCGGGATCTTTTGTGACGCCGGCACAAAGGCCCGCGTCCGAGTCTCCATTCACTCCATTCACAGCCGGGATCTGCGTCTCGCTGACCAAAGAAAGAGAACAGCACAGACACAGTGTGACCAACATGAGGAAACCTCAGGGTAAACACTGCAGAAATGCTCTTCTTACTCAGTGTTTGTGTCGCGTTTCAGTCCAAATGTCTAAAGATTCTTACATCAAGAAGCATTTACTAGAGGAGTAAAATACCATATGATACTATGTCTTGTTTTCTGGGGATATGAATCTAAATGAAGTGAGTTTCTGCTTAAAACAAGCAAAATTATCTCCCAATGGGGTCAGAAACATAATAATGTTAATTCAAACAGAAACAAGAGTATGTTTCTGACCCCATTGGGAGATCATTTTGCTTGTTTTAAGCAGAAACTCACTTCATTTAGATTCATATCCCCAGAAAACAAGACATAGTATCATATGGTATTTTACTCCTCTAGTAAATGCTTCTTGATGTAAGAATCTTTGGACTGAAACGCGACACAAACACTGAGTAAGAAGAGCATTTCTGCAGTGTGTGATGGACATATTTGCTACAGTCATCATGGGGAAATCTCAGAGTGAAACTGGGAGTTGTGAAGTTTATCTATGCATCATCTTTTTACTCTTAATTCATTTTATAACTGTATCATATGTGACCCTGAACCACAAAACCCTGAGTCACATGGGCCAATTTTTGGAAATTAGGATTTATACGTCATACCTAGAAAATGTACAGAATATCTCCATCATGATCTTTACTTAATATCCTAATGACTCTCGACATAAAAGAAAAATCGATAATTTTGACCCATACAATGTATCGTTTGGAATCGCACAAATCTTGCTTTTATCATGTGACTATTTTAACGTCTTTCTTTCTGCATAAATATATAAAACATTTGTTTTGTGAGTGAATGCAGCAAAATCGAGAACACAAATGCACAACTTTAAAGGCGATTTTCTCAATGTTTTGATTTTTTTCCAGATTTTCAAATAATCTCGGCCAAATATGATCATATCCTAACAAACAATGGAAAGCTTATTTATCAATTTTAAAAATAATGAACCCATGGTCACATATCTATCAATCCCTTTTAAGAAAATCTCAGAGTAAAATGAAAAATATGATAGACAGTGTTTTGCCAGATGAGACGTTCATCTTTTTTTCTTTCATAAATGTATCATAAATCACCGTTTTAATTTCCCTTGCTGTTGTCGTGTGGCTATTGTAACTCGCTTCTGCACAATGCACTGTGAAAAGCCGTGGTGTGTGAAACGCCACACAAATAAACTTGCCTTGCCTTGCCTAGGCTAGCGTGCTCGCGTGTGGGGAAGGCTTCCAGCACGGTGAACGGCTCCGGGGAGTCCGGAGTCGGGGTGTTTTCCTTACAGTCCCTTTCCCACGGGATCTGGATGTCGCCGAGCAGCACTCCCTGCTGTATCCGGATGGCCTGCTGGATGTCCGCCAGTAGATCCTCCTGTTCGGCGGCCGAGTGGAAGCTGTACATGTCCGTGTCGGAGCCCGAGCTCCGGATCTTCTCCTCGTCCTCGGGCCCGTCGGGAAGAGGACACACACGAGGCCTGTCGGGCTCGGCGTCCGAGTGTCCGAGCTCATCGTCCCCGGAGAGGTCCGGCGTTTTAGCGTTGCACTGGGACTGGGCGCTGTCGAGCTCATCTTCTTTGGAAGCGCTCAGGAATCCCTTGGCCTTCGGGTTCTTGCGCTTGCGGATGTGAGGGAAAACTGAGGATCTGTCCGACCTGCTTTTCTTCTTCCCTCCCTCCCCCGCTTTCCCGTGTGCTTTCTTCCCTTTCTTCACACCCTCGTGAGCCCCGCTCTCATCCGCCGCTCCTGCCTCCCGCTTTAGCTTCCCGTCCTGGTTTCCCATGATTAGCGGTTCTCTCACGCCATGCCTGTGTCTCGCGTGTGCGCTCTCGGATGATGAGGATGATGATGACGAGGAGAGGCGTGAGGAAGACGAGGCTGTGACGAAGGAGAGATACAGAAGCTCGCTCTCGCTCTCCTCCCGATCGGATCCGGGAAGGGAGGGGCGTGGATCCCGAGGGACATGCGCGCGCGCCTGTGTGTGTGTGTGTGGATCCTCACTGTGCGTGCGGGGGAAGATGAGCCGCTGTCGACGGCCCAGGCTCAAGGCCTCCAGCAGCTTGTGTCCGATCACGGGAAGCTCCAGCTTCTGCATCGTCTCAAACACACACACACACACACCCCAGCTGCAGGGACAAGCATCAGTGTGTTAATGCACAGCTTCACTTTACACTCGGACATATAAACTAGCCGTTAGAAAATCTGTTTGTTTGCACTTGAGCTTAAAACACTTATATATTTATTTAATTCGTTTATTTGTCTTACATTATGTTTTGTACCAGAGTTAGCAAATGCTCTGTATTGCTGCAGACATTTAAATTTTAATTTAAAACATAATTGTTTTGATTGACAGCAGTTTCAAATGAGACTGAAAATGAAGGGCTATTAAACTGATTTTTTTTTACACTGAAAAATAAAGTTGCTGTTAAGACTTAAATAACCTCATTTTATATTATTATATATTTTCTTATTTTATTTATATAGTTTATATTATTTATATATTTGTTTTAATTATTAAACATCTATTTTTTTCCATTTTTATATATTTTATACTACTTATATATTTGTTGATTATAACACACACACACACACACACACACATATATATATATATATATAAAATGACTTTTATTATCTTACTCTCCACATATATATATATTAGTGCTGGGACGATGCACCTCTCCCGATTCGATATGCTGTCACGATACCGATACGATATGTATTGCGATTCGATATTGTGATTTTTTTAACACTAGACCATCGGGAAAAGTTAAATCATACACTTATACAGACTGTGCATGATGTATAAGATGAGTCATATTTACAAAAACAATTCATCACATCTCTCTGAGTTTTATTTCAGAAGCATCATCAATACTACACTCTTTAATAAACGATTCAATAATAAATACGTTTTTTTTACGGTCGCTTATCGCCGCCTAGTGGCACAACAATCTAATCGATAAATGCGTTATTTTAAGCACCAAGTTTCTATCAAAAGCTGATTTACTCTTTTTTGAATCGATACTGTAGACATCAGTGTTTATATTCGAACTTTAAACTTTTATCTCAGATCTTCCATGATAATTTGAACTATTGCATCACAGAAATAATGATACTATGAGGTTGAAAATGACGACTCTCTCCGATTCTGTAAGAAAAAGATTGATTTTAAAATAGTTAAAAAAAATATAAAAAAAATCACGATAGAGGTGAATCGATTTTTTTCACCCAGCCCTAATATATAGATTTTATTTTATTATGCTCTACTTGTAAATATTCATTAATTTAATAAAAATATATTATTTATTTACACATATGTAAATATTTTATTTCAGAAAATGTTTAGAAAATTAATTAGTGTTTTTTTTTTCCCACTTAAGCTTAAACACTTCTAATTAAACACTTCAAGTTAACTAATGTCAACAGAAAACTGTTTAATAGGATTTTAGCATATTTAAAAGTCGGATGTGAACTGATTTACAAGCTAGAAATAATTTTTCACAATTGTTCATGTGGACGGTGGCTGAGCTTTCCCCCGCTTAACCTTAAAAACAGTTAATAAATTAAAAAAAATCTATTTTTATAATAACTTGCAGGGGTATTTTTTTCACTTAAGCTTAAAAAATTCACACTGCTAAATTAAACACGCTGAGAAACATTTAAACTCGTTTCAGCTCAGTCATTTAGTGAACCGAGATGAAAAATAAATGTGTTTTTATAGGATTAGAAGCAGTTTAAACATTATTAATTAATTATTCATACAGTAATTAGAATTCACAATTTCTCATGTGGCAGAGGCAGAGTTTTTCCAGTTAAGCTTAAAAAAATAATAAAATCTCACACATATACATACATATATATATATATATATGGGTGTATAAATAAATGTGACAAAAAAACTTTAATGTTGCAATACTGACTTTATCAATTATTCCGCTAAATTAAACACGCTGAGAAACATTTAAACTCGTTTCAGCTCAGTCATTTAGTGAACCGAGATGAAAAATAAATGTTTTTATAGGATTGGCAGGAGAATCAAACATTAAGAAATGAAACTGAAAATAATGTGTAAACTGAAAACTAAATTTACAGTGATATATATAAACAAGTGTTAAAACTAAGTTGCTGTTCTTTGTTCAGAGATGCATTTTATCCCCCAACTTCAGCTTAAACTCGTATATTAAAGAAACAAAAACAAGTCATTTACAAGCATTTATCATGAGTATGTTCAGATAACAACAGTGTGGTCCTTCAGTTATTAATATTCTACTGGTAAATCAAATTGCTTCAGTTCTACTGCAATCAGAAACCATTACATTAACTATGTAAAACGAATCTTTGCTTATTTGACACATTTACAGTAGTTTCAGCTGAGTCTGCAAGTGCACGCGTCGCGCGCAATGACGTCATCAGCGGCTACAGTGAACGCGCGTGGTGACGTCACGACGCTTCGGTCAGCCGTTTGCAGTGATTATAACTCTTAATTTGGTTGGTAAATTAATTTCTTACCCTCATGTTCTTGTTCCTCCCATCCTATTTCGTTTTTTCTGTCGACAGCAAATTGTTAACTAAAAAAATAGTTGATTGTTAATAACGCGAAATCAAGGACTTTATTGACTGACAGTGACTCGAACCTAATCAAAGAACACCGAGCTCAACTCATGTGAATCTGAAATCAAACTGGACATTAAGATCTCTTCAGTTCAAAGATACGAAAAAGCTTTTAGTCAGATTCTGAATTTTAAAACCAATCGACGAGAACCAATGTGACAAACCTATTTATGCTGTAACTCTAGTCGAGCTTGATGAAAACGCGCTTGAACGGAGAAACTGCCTGTAACTGTGAACTTCTGTTTAAAACACCGTGTTTGTCTCATGTCATACTCACTCATGAATCAGTGCAGCTTCTTTAAACACACCGTGTGTGTTGTGTGTGTATGTGTTCATCTTTCCCGCCGGCTGGCTGGTGTAATGCGCGTCACCTGCGCCGGGCGCGCGCGTGATTCCTGCTGCGACAGCGACACCCAGCGGCCGGTTACAGTCATTACACGCAGAACAGGCTGAGGCTCAGCAAGGTTTGATCATCAGTGCGATTTAATAAACCAGAGAAATCTAAATTTTACACAAAGAAAGAAAAGCCAAACTTGATCTGAGTCAGGGAAAAATATGTGGTATAACATTAAACAAGTTTACATCTTCCTTCTTCCACAGATTATGTGCTGACCAGGCTAACAGAATCAGCGACTTTCATAAGCGATATTTTGTATTCATTCAAAATAAATGTCAAAGTAAATTTTTAATGACTAAAATGCACTTTTCTTGAATCACACAATTTTGTCACAACACTCCAATTACTGTTTTTATTTAAATCGTGAAAAAGTGTGTGTGTGTGTGTGTGTGTGTAAATACTTCTGTGAAAAACAAGTTCAAAGAAAAAATATTTAGTACCTCATACAGAATATAACCACAAAAGAAACAGTTGGTTTTATTGATCAAACATCTCAGTATAGACAAAACGTATACAATTTTGTACAGAAGTTTATAAATGACCACTCCCGGTGCTACAGTAATCAATATAAAGATGATCAATCCTCCTGGATAAAGAAACAGTGAACCAACGTGAATTAAAATGTATATTCTGCTTTTCCCTCATCAGTGTGTGTTCCGCCCGCTAGAGGGGAGTGTCGCTCCACATGTGAACTTTTGAGGTCTTGTATTAAAAATACTGCATCTCTCGACATTAATAACTACACATACTGTATACAACATTATTAGTGATCAGGCGATCTTTGTCCCCAAACATGCTGGAAAACAGGGCAGATGTTACAATCACTGTGAGAAATCCACTTTAAGAGGAAATCCCGTCATAGTTTATTTTCAGAGACATTTACATATTCACGAGGGCATATTGTTTTCTAACCAACCATATAAAAAACACCATGTATTTATTTGTAATCGAACACGGCTCCATGTTGGCTAAACTACATAATCTGACAGATACAGGCACTAAACTCCCATTCATCGGACATTCATAACCAGAGATATACATAGACACAATAATGAAATGTCATATTTCACAATTAAAAAGAGGAATTCGTTACAGGATCATTTTACATTTCTAGTGTTTTGCAGCAGATGCTGCCCCTGCTTGGAGTTGTTTTTGCTCTGTTTTTAAGAGGAAGAGGTTAAAAAACTGCTGAACACTCAAAGTTGTTAAAAAAAGCCTTAAATATTTATGTTTAGTCAACTTGAAATATGAAGTCGTTTTAAAGGGGGTTTATGTAGAATTGAGAAACCCGTGTTATTAGCGACACCTGTGGCCGTTAATGGAACTGCAGCAGCACTTCCTGCTCGTGCTCGTGAACACGTGACGCACGAGAGACTGAACCCTGACATACTTAAAAATAACTTTTTTTCGTTCTTCACTTAGAAGGAAAAAGATGTTAGAAATATCTTTGAGAGCGACGGTTAGATGAATATGTGCTTCTTCTCAATAACCAAACGACAAAAATGACGGAAAACAGCAGTTCACTTTTTGTGCGCAAAAAAAAAAAAAAAAAAAATAACGACGAAGAAAATTAATAGTTGAATAAAGGCGCAAATTTTTTTCTTTTTGCAAACATAAAGTATTCTCGTCGCTTGATAAACTTAAGGTTGAGCCACTGTAGTCACTCGGACTATTTTAACGATGTCTTTACTAACTTTCTGGCTCTCAGATTTAATAAAAAATATCTTAATTTGTGTTCTGAAGATGAACGAAAGTCTTACGGGGTTGGAACAACATGAGGGAGAGTAATTACTGACAGAATTTTCATTTTTGGGGTAAACGATCCCTTAAAGAATTAATATATTATGCCTTATTGCTTAATAACAATTAACAATGTCGCAAAACATACCTAAAAATGCAATTTCTTTCACTTTAACTATATAAATAGGCTAATCAGGATAAAACTAAAAGATTATTACATGAATTAAAGTTTGATTGATTACAATAAGAATCGCGGGAACAGCTTTAGATCAGGCATAATACTGGGGTCCTAAACTCAACAATAAGCCTACATTCAGTCCTGCATTAATAATTCAGAATTTGTTTGC